AAGATAGTTCTATAATGTGTTTCTGGTGGGTATGCGAGGGGAGCGCGATGGTGGAATAAGGCTTTTCTAGAGGCGTTTTCGTTTGGGAATGGAAATTGAGGTTAGGAAATCTTGAGATATTTTTCAATAGGGTGATTATTTTTCGGGTATCTTTTTAAACGGGGAATGATGGAGATGTTATTGTTGTATCGAAATGATGAAAATTAGTTTCCTTAAGTATGCAGCATTTTTTAAAAGAAATTTTGAAAATATATATGGTTTCATAGAGATTATTATTTTTTGATTAAAATTACTCGATGTTTTTCTTTTGAAATGGGGAATAATGGAGAAGTTATTGTTGCATCGAAATGATGAAAATTAGTTTCCTTAAGTATGCTGCATTTTTTAAAAGAAATTTTGAAAATATATATTGTTTCATAGAGATTATTATTTCTTGATTAAAATTACTCGATGTTTTTCTTTTGAAATGGGGAATAATGGAGAAGTTATTGTTGCATCGAAATGATGAAAATTAGTTTCCTTAAGTATGCTGCATTTTTTAAAAGAAATTTTGAAAATATATATTGTTTCATAGAGATTATTATTTCTTGATTAAAATTACTCGATGTTTTTCTTTTGAAATGGGGAATAATGGAGAAGTTATTGTTGCATCGAAATGATGAAAATTAGTTTCCTTAAGTATGCTGCATTTTTTAAAAGAAATTTTGAAAATATATATTGTTTCATAGAGATTATTATTTCTTGATTAAAATTACTCGATGTTTTTCTTTTGAAATGGGGAATAATGGAGAAGTTATTGTTGCATCGAAATGATGAAAATTAGTTTCCTTAAGTATGCTGCATTTTTTAAAAGAAATTTTGAAAATATATATTGTTTCATAGAGATTATTATTTCTTGATTAAAATTACTCGATGTTTTTCTTTTGAAATGGGGAATAATGGAGAAGTTATTGTTGCATCGAAATGATGAAAATTAGTTTCCTTAAGTATGCTGCATTTTTTAAAAGAAATTTTGAAAATATATATTGTTTCATAGAGATTATTATTTCTTGATTAAAATTACTCGATGTTTTTCTTTTGAAATGGGGAATAATGGAGAAGTTATTGTTGCATCGAAATGATGAAAATTAGTTTCCTTAAGTATGCTGCATTTTTTAAAAGAAATTTTGAAAATATATATTGTTTCATAGAGATTATTATTTCTTGATTAAAATTACTCGATGTTTTTCTTTTGAAATGGGGAATAATGGAGAAGTTATTGTTGCATCGAAATGATGAAAATTAGTTTCCTTAAGTATGCTGCATTTTTTAAAAGAAATTTTGAAAATATATATTGTTTCATAGAGATTATTATTTCTTGATTAAAATTACTCGATGTTTTTCTTTTGAAATGGGGAATAATGGAAATCACATTCTATTAAAGAATTTTTTCTACTTCTCGATTGAAATATCGACAAACCGTGACGTTCCAGTAATAACACTCCGCCATTTACAAATTAAATTCTACACTTCTAATTATTATTCGCTAGATCCTCCGCTTAGCTTCGATCTCGCGATTTCACGCTTAAAAAACGATAGTTAACAATCGGCTTTAATTCTCCTCCTTTCGATCGTTCAACAACATAATACCCTTACTATTAAGCCGCTCCAACCGTGAAACTACCAATCGACAATCGAACGATAATACTAACGAAGCACTTTATTCTCTCTTTATTTTTTATCGTTTCATCGTTACAGAAACGCTCGTTTCGTACATAGGAAAATAGGAAAAGAAATTCACGTTACCCGTTTTAATTAAATCTCGAGTGCAAATGTCGCGTGTAATTAAATTTCCTCGCCAAACACCGGATTTACATATATCTGGTATCGATTATGGCAGAGCCACTTAATATCTCGCTCCGTCGTTTTATTCGTAATTTAGCGACGCGTCGATCTTGATTAAACAATTACACATCGCTGTAACTTTATGCACGTGCTTTAGACGACTTATCGTTCGATCTGATTCTGTTAACCGTTTGCGGTCTAAATGCGCACATCAGACGGGAGTATTTGATGGACACGTGGCAGTTTCGACTAATCTCAATTGTACTTACTTCCGTCGTTTCTTGCAGATAAAGCTCGTTAGAGGCGGAACTTGTTAAGGTACCAAATGTGTCAACCTTCAAATTGACGTTGTCTGAAGATCTTTGTATTTTCTGAAAATACTCTTTGACGTGAAAATTCTTGAAGATTTTTGGATACATAAATGACCAAGATTGTTAAAATTTTGAAGATAAATGTTGAATTTAATTATATTTTCTGAAAAGACAGATTTTTGAATTTAAAGGGATTGATTAGCAAAATTTAAAAAATTTAAACCTGAATTCACAAGGATTTTTGAATTTCAAATGATTAAGATTGTCAAAATGTTGAAAATTTAAACCTGAATTTTGCAAAAATTTTGTGCATCCAATGATTTTCACATTTTCTGAAAATAATTTTTGAAGATTTTTGGATGTACAAATGATCAAGATTATTAAAATTTGCAAGATAAATGTTGAATTCAATTATATTTTCTGAAAATATAGATTTTTGAATTTAAAGGGATTGAGACTATCAAAATTTTGAAAATTTAAACCTCGAATTTGCAAAGATTTTGTGCACTATAGAAAAAGCAAAAGTGTCAAGGTTCAAATTAATAATATCCGAAGGTTTTTAAATTTTCTGGAAATATTTTTTTCAAGCGAAAATTTCGCGAAGATTTTGGGACATATGAATGATTAAAATTATCAGAATTTTGAAGGTACAAAGCTTGAGTATATTCAAATATTCAGAAAATGAAGACTTTTAAATGTAAACTAATTAAGATTATCAAAATTTTGAAAATCTAAACCACGAATTTATAAAAATTTTCTGCACTAAAGACAAAAACCAAAGTGTCAAGCTTCAAATTAATAATATCCCAAGGTTTTTATATTTCCTAAATAATATTTTTTGAAATGAAAAATTTTGGGTATATAAACGATTAAAATTATTAAAATTTTGAAGACATAAATCTCGAATTCAATCACATTTTCCAAAAATAAAGATTGTCATATGTAAACCAATTGAAATTATCAAAATTTCGAAAATATAAACCTCGACTCAATAAACTCTTCAAGCATAATAGAAGAAAAAGAAAAACTAAAAATCCTCGTTCAATATCTAATTTCCCCCTACACTTAAAAACATCACCGCGTCAAAGTAATCGATACGCTTCTGAAACAAGTCGGACCTCCTTGACAGCCGATTGCGTGAAGTAACCAGACCGCAAAGGGTTAATTTCTTCTCGTTCACGGCTTGGAGCCGCTGGGAACTTAAAATGTAATCTCATCGAACACGACTGGCTGATTTTCTCGATCCTCCATCGATCGAGACCTCTAAAAACCCATTAACATCGGAACCTCCTCGAGATACACAGACATCATCCACATCTGTTAAGAACAAACCCAAAAACCCAAAAAAAAAAAAAAAAAAAAAAAAAAAAAACGAATAAAAGAAGAACAAAATGGCCGCAACTACTGCACAAGGAAACGTCGAAAGTTTCCTGTCTGCGAGTGGATCGAAGACGAAATTTTTGCGGGGGTGGATCGTAACTTTCACGGTCCCCTTTAAATCAGTATTGTCACGTGAGCCATAAATATCGCCGCGTACGTCAGACGCGCGCAAAAGAGAGAGAGAGAGAGAGAAGCTCCTTGAGCCCGAAGGTTAGGATACTCCTCTGTAAAAGACGTCAGAAACGCGATTGGAAATTGTAGCTGGGGCTACAATCTTCCCCCCGCTCGTTCGATCCCTCGATCACTTTCAAACAGGACTCATTTCCGACGTCCTCTCTCGACCGTCGTCCTTTTCATCGCGCGATAACACTGTCAGGCCTTTTTTTCACTTGGAACTTTTTAATCCGAGGAGTTTGCTTCGATCCTTCTCGACGAAACCGACGCGAAACCTCCTTCTGTCGGAAGTTCTTCGACAATTGGACGATTATTAGAAAACTTCGATATGCGTATCTCGAATCGAACTTATTGCTTTGTTCCTCGACAACTGGAAAAATCCTTCGTCCCTTGGAATCGTGGAATTTTATTTCGCGAAGAAAATTCTTCGTCCCTTGGAATCGTGGATTTTACTTCGCGAAAAAGATCCTTCATCCTTAGGAATCGTGGAATTTATTTCAAGAAAAAGATCCTTCGTCCCTTGGAATCGTGGATTTTACTTCGCGAAGAAGATCCTTCATCCCTTGGAATCGTGGAATTTTATTTCGCGAAAAAGATCCTTCATCCTTAGGAATCGTGGAATTTATTTCAAGAAAAAGATCCTTCGTCCCTTGGAATCGTGGATTTTACTTCGCGAAGAAGATCCTTCATCCCTTGGAATCGTGGAATTTTATTTCGCGAAAAAGATCCTTCATCCTTAGGAATAGTGGAATTTATTTCAAGAAAAAGATCCTTCGTCCCTTGGAATCGTGGAATTTTATTTCGCGAAGAAGATCCTTCGTCCCTTGGAATCGTGGATTTTACTTCGCGAAGAAAACCCTTCGTCCCTTGGAATCGTGGAATTTTATTTCGCGAAGAAAATTCTTCGTCCCTTGGCATCGTGGAATTTATTTCAAGAAAAAGATCCTTCGTCCATTGGAATTTTAACGAAGAAAAAATCTTGCCACGTTTTCAAGGAAAATTCTCGAAAAATTGAACAACTTCGCCGTCGATTTAACGTTGTTCTCTTCGATAAGTATCGCTGGTACGAAAAAATTTGTGGAATAATCACCCACGCTTTTTTCTTGTTGTAAAACATAAAATAATTCGAAGTAGACTCATTGTCAGTTGGTTTAATTTCGTGTTCCAACTGAACGAGAGTTTCGTTTTTTTCGTTTCGTGAAAAATGTTTTTTGTTCGACGTGGAAAGTCGAGTTTCGTGTCGACTCGCGTTTTGCGTGTGTAAAACGTAAAAATCGAGATTTTCGTCCTCTCGAGATCGGCAATTTACTACTACACTTCCGTGGAGTGTGTTTGAATTCGCACTTTCTTCTGCGAGCCGTTCCTCGAGAGGGTCGGGCTGTGCGTGGAGAAACCGGGATTGTGGATACCGAGAGGTTTCGGCTTCTTCAGCGAGCTGCGGAGAGGCGAAGCCGTGCTCGTCACGCTTGCGGAAGTCGCCACGGACGCCATAGAGCCGTTTCCGGCCCCGCCGACGTAGGGCTTGCCGCTGGCGTCGGTCATTGAGATGCTGCCACCTGAAATTTCATAAAAAACAAAGATTTTCTTTGTAGCAACAGTCGAAATTTTGTAGTAAAAAATATAAAATTGTCCATTGCTCGGTAATTTTTGGAACTTTTTAAATTTTTAATTCAATTCAATTTTAAGTACCTAAGCTTAACCCTAAATTTGAAATTAAACTCAATCTTAAGCTTAACCTTTGGCAAGAAATTTAATTTAATTTTAAGCTTAATCCTAAATTTTCAATTAAATTTAAATTTAATATAATTCAATTTTAA